ACACTCTCACACTCTCACACTCACACTCTCACACTCTCACACTCTCACACTCTCACACTCTCACTCACACTCTCACTCACACTCTCACTCACACTCTCACTCACACTCACACTCTCACTCACACTCTCACTCACACTCTCACTCACACTCTCACTCACTCGCTCACTCACTCGCTCACTCACTCGCTCACTCACTCGCTCACTCACTCGCTCACTCACTCGCTCACTCACTCGCTCACTCACTCGCTCACTCACTCACTCACTCACTCACTCACTCACTCGGGCTCCGCTGCTTTTGCGTGGCAGGTGTGGGACAATGTGCACTGCCAAGGGGTCGGATGTACGCCCTGGCGTCCCTCGGGCTCCGCCTCTTTTGCGTGGCAGGCGTGGGACAATGTGCACTGCCAAGGGGTCGGATGTACGCCCTGGCGTCCCTCGGGCTCCGCCTCTTTTGCGTGGCAGGCGTGGGACAATGTGCACTGCCAAGGGTCGGATGTACGCCCTGGCGTCCCTCGGGCTCCGCCTCTTTTGCGTGGCAGGCGTGGGACAATGTGCACTGCCAAGGGGTCGGATGTACGCCCTGGCGTCCCTCGGGCTCCGCCTCTTTTGCGTGGCAGGCGTGGGACAATGTGCACTGCCAAGGGGTCGGAGGTACGCCCTGGCGTCCCTCGGGCTCCGCCTCTTTTGCGTGGCAGGCGTGGGACAATGTGCACTGCCAAGGGGTCGGATGTACGCCCTGGCGTCCCTCGGGCTCCGCCTCTTTTGGGTGGCAGGCGTGGGACAATGTGCACTGCCAAGGGGTCGGATGTACGCCCTGGCGTCCCTCGGGCTCCGCCTCTTTTGCGCGGCAGGCGTGGGACAATGTGCACTGCCAAGGGGTCGGATGTACGCCCTGGCGTCCCTCGGGCTCCGCCTCTTTTGCGTGGCAGGCGTGGGACAATGTGCATTGCCACGGGGTTGGATGTACGCCCTGGCGTCCCTCGGGCTCCGCCTCTTTTGCGTGGCAGGCGTGGGACAATGTGCACTGCCAAGGGGTAGGATGTACGCCCTGGCGTCCCTCGGGCTCCGCGTCTTTTGCGTGGCAGGCGTGGGACAATGTGCACTGCCAAGGGGTCGGATGTACGCCCTGGCGTCCCTGGGGCTCCGCCTCTTTTGCGTGGCAGGCGTGGGACAATGTGCACTGCCAAGGGGTCGGATGTACGCCCTGGCGTCCCTCGGGCTCCGCCTCTTTTGCGGGGCAGGCGTGGGACAATGTGCACTGCCAAGGGGTCGGATGTACGCCCTGGCGTCCCTCGGGCTCCGCCTCTTTTGCGTGGCAGGCGTGGGACAATGTGCACTGCGGATGGCGTTTGTGTGGCAGGTGTGGCAGCACTCAAATCACTTCACTCAATAACTCCACTCTTCATTCCACTCACTCACTCACTCTCTAGCACGCACGCACGCACGCACGCACGACGCACGCACGCACGCACGAACGCACGCACGCACGCACGCACGGCAAGCACGCACGCACGCACGCACGCACTCACTCACGCACTCACTCACTAACTCACTCACTCACTCACTCACGCACTGACACATCACTGACACATTCACGACACAGTCACTGAAACATTCACTGACACATTCACGTGAAACAGTCATGACACATTCACTGACACATTCACTGACACATTCACTGACACATTCACTGACACATTCACTGACACATTCACTGACACATTCACTGACACATTCACTGACACATTCACTGACACATTCACTGACACATTCACTGACACATTCACTGACACATTCACTGACACATTCACTGACACATTCACTCACTCACTCACTCACTCACTCACCCACTCACTCACTCACTCACTCACCCACCCACTCACTCACACACTCACACACACACACACTCACACACTCACTCACTCACTCACTCACTCACTCACACACTCACTCACACTCACTCACACTCACTCACACTCACTCTCACTCACACTCACTCACACTCACTCACACTCACTCACACTCACTCACACTCACTCACACTCACTCACACTCACTCACTCACTCACTCACTCACACACACACACTCACTCACTCACTCACTCACTCACCCACTCACCTTCACTCACCCACCTCACTCACACCATCACTCACTCACTCACTCACTCACTCACTCACCCCACCCACCCACCCACCCACCCACTCACTCACTCACTCACTTACTCACTTACTCATTCACTCACCTGTGCATGCGCATGCATACACACATACACAAAAACTCACCCACCATCACCCCTCCATCACTCTTATACTTCCTCTTCCCTTCTTGCTTTTCTATGCTCAGTCTAAGTCTAGAGAAGTTGGTAACATGTGGGGTTATCCGGTCCTATAATTTTAGGAGATTTGCACATCCATTTATCAGATTTTATCAGCTATTGTGATGATTTTTTCCAATGGTTTGGACCCATCCCCAAAAAATGAGTTTCAGATGACCCAATCGTCAAGGGTATTGATCACTTCAAAAAAACATGGTAGATGGGGCAGCAGAGGCATGAGAATTTCTTAACACAAAACTTCGATGAAATTTACCTACATTCACCCCATCTGTTCATGACAAATCAAACAGCACCTTGCTGGGATTGGGTTTCTTCATGGTGCGGAACCCAGCTGATGTCATGACCAGGTTTGATGCTGCAGAGGCTTTCCCTCTGTTCCTGGCGAATGCCAACGCCTGAGATATCCTGAACTTTGTTCCATCCCTTTCAACTTCGAAAATGTGGCTTTGGCAACCTGAAAATAGTGGGAAATCCCCACTTTCATGGTTTTGAACCTTAATCTTTCCCACATGTTTTGATGGCAATTTTCGGGGCCAATCCCCCATAAAATGCATTTTCCAGCAGAAACTGGTGTATGGCCTCAGGCTGTTGTCCTTCCAGGGAAAGGAG